ATTATTTCGTTTCTCTCCGATAGGATGCGCCTCTTCAAAAAAGCTGCTTTTTCGGCATCAGGTGATGTATGTGTGTGTGTTGATCAGCCAAAAATTGTTCCAGCAAAACGAATTTGCATATAAAATGAACTTCCGATTAGGGAAATTTCAGGAGAAATGAGCAGCAACAGCAGCAAACTAGCAAACAGGCGCAACCTGCATCCAAAAAGCAAAATGCTTACCTCATCCGAGCCATCATGCTTGGAGTAGAAGCGAGCCGAACGCGCGTACAGGGCACCAAGGTGTGCCACTTCATGTGGTCGCACAGCTGTGGACATTCGATTGATTGAGGACTGCATCATGAACGCAAACATCCCGAGAAAGTGCTCGTCGAGGCGATACTGAAAATGAATGCACTCCATGAAATTGTCTAAGTCGAAAGCTAAAGACGGCTCAGCGAACATGAAAAGACATAACATCAGTAGTGCGATTAAGCCTTGAAAAAACACAATTAGCAGAGCGAATTTGATGATCGCGTAGATCGCGAGTACTCCGAACATCACAAGGGGAAAAAAGTAAAGCATAAGAATATCAGCTAAAATTAGAGCTTACATATTTGCCAAGCAGTCTTGACACGCATTCCAATTCAGGGCTCCTTTTCCTATTTCATATTATTTTATTTTGCTGGTTACTATAATCCATTAGATTTTTTACCATATTTTACTACTCAGACTAGTTTGTTATTGATTGCTAATAATTCGTTACACTTTTTATAATATTATAGATCAGTTATTATAAATTATCTTAATCTAATGCACTCTGCAACGAGATTTTGGCTCGCATACTTTGCAGTTAGTGATTAGAAGTAGCTACGTGCCTTGGGATGGCAACAACAAAAATAACCTAAATGACCAGTAGGCAGAAGTCAGCTGAAAGCGGAAAGCCGTTTTATATGGGCGTGAGATGTTGCTGATTGACAAACGAGTTGATGACCATCCTTTCTGGGATTTCTTTTTAAAAAAAATAGTTGTTGTTGAGTTTTTTTAAAGCTATGCTAATCCAGCAAAAGAATTTTCAACTGTGAACTGTGAGTATGCCTTAGCCTGAAGTGCCATCATTGGAAAGAAGAAACTGAAAAACTAAAATACTTCTTGCACTGAAAGTAGCGGAAAATTTTTTGAGGACGTGGCCGGAAATGCAATGCAGCACTATAAGTCGGTACAATGCGCAAATCAAGATCACTTTGGCTATCAGTGTGGTATCCCATGTTAGTGATGTTATATACCGGATACAGTTATGCCAGGCCTTTCAATTCTAGCTTGTATTACTTCCATGAATATTAACCCAACCTGTTCTTTATATTTGCAATGCAATACGTTCGCAAAATTTTGCACTTTTTCCTGAAACTTTAAATCGAAAGTCGAGATTAAACGAAACTCCAAAAAGGTACTGTCTTGGGATGGTCAAATTTAGCTTTTCTTAATTAAGCTAAATTTTCGCTATTGAACGAACTATTTCCACTCAAATTTCGATCTTAATCCGGAAATTCAAGCATCCTCTTTTTCCTTTCTATTCTACTTATATCCCTGCTTCTGCCTCTTTGTTAATGCCTTTTGCTGGTTATTCGTGGCGCATCCAAGAGAAAAGGAACAGGGATGGACTCCTCAAACGAAAATAAGGAAGCACTTGAAAATAATCAGGAAGCACTTGAAGTGAAAGTAGATTAGTTCGACTGCATATTTCACAGCCAGCATTGTCCCCCGAACAATGCAGTGTTCGAGCGCTAACTGAATTACCTCAAGTACCTTCAAGTACTTCGCCGCTGTAATTTCTTTATGTGATGCCTTTTGGCTTGGCTGAGAAATTTCGACAAGTTCGCAGCATGCATAAAATTCAATTTATCCGGGGAATCACTTGCACTCTTGCTTGAAATGAGTTTTTTTTTTTCTAAATAGTGTAATTCCGTCCAGTGAAAAAATACAGCTTGTGCCTCCCTGCTGAATGCCCAAAAATCTCGAATTCGAGGCATTATAAACTAGAGAATCAACGGCTATTTTTAGTTCATGCCGAAACTTCTACAACCGGAGTTGCATCCTCTGGTGCCGATGACATGCCGATGGCCCTAGTATCCATAGGAATCTGCGATCCTCTCCAATCACTTGTTAGGAAAAAAAAACTTCTCTTGATGACTTGAGGTCGAAGATGTCATTATTAGTAAAGTATGAAGTGAGATTTTTTAGTCGCCTTTTTTCGTGCTAAAATCAAGCACTTCCTATAGTTTAGAATAATTTATTTTTTGAACAGAAGTGTTAGCTGGCAGGAATGAGAATTAATTTTTCTCAGAGTGCATGTGAACACGTTTTTCCATAAAGCGTTGGATTCGGAAATCTTTTTTTAATCCAGAAAACCTCGAAAAGTTTGGTTCTGGAATAGCTTTTATAACAGAAAACTGGAATAAAAGTAAATTTTCATCACAAGTGATATTTGGAAAGGTTTGAATTTGATTTTAAACTACCAGTAAAAAAAGTTCTGGAAAACTCTTCCAACTCATGCAAGAGTTTTTTTACTATTTAAACAACTTAACTGACAAGTCATGAGGATTAATTTTCCTCCGAGAGGCACATGTTCAGGCGTTCCCAAGAAAACACTGGATATGGAAACTTTTTTTGGACTCAGAAAACCTTGAAAAGTTCGGTTCCAGAACAGCTTTACTAGAGGAAACTGGAGTAAAAGTAAATTTACTTCACAAAAGTAATATTTGGGAAAGTTTGAATTCGGTTTTAAACTATTACTAAAAAAAACTGGAAAACTTTTTCAACTCGCTTGAGAGTTCTTTACAATTTAAACCACTTGACAAAGCTGGCCGTCCAAATTTATACGACAGGTCTTAGGCTGAGACAAAATAACGAAAGATGAAATCCAGAAACTGAAAGGCGGAGAGTGCGAGAGGGAAAACTAGGCACGTGTTAGCAAACTGATGCGATCACTGATCAGAGATTGAGGAGCTGGAAGGGAATTCCATTAAAAAACATGAGGGGTGAGGGTGACGAGGATTGAGTGAGGTTTGTTTTTTGACGAGCACTGAAACTCGGTGCCGCCGCAGTGAGTTTCGAAAAAAACATAAACAGGTGTGTGTGTGTGTCGAAAGGCGCATTAATGGATCGTTTTTATTTCCGACTTTCGGATTTCGTAATTTC